CGCAGATCACAGTCATGATGCTGATCACAGTCATGACGCAGATCACAGTCATGACGCAGATCACAGTCATGACGCAGATCACAGTCATGACGCTGAATACAGCAATGACGCTGGTCACAGCCATGACGCTGGACAGAGCCAGATAATAATAATAATAATAATAATAATAATATATACATAGGCCCCCTATTAATGGTTTCTATCTGCCCCGATTAAGCGGGAACCACTGTAATACGTTTTACATTGGTCGTGGCTAGATGCAATCGTAGTACATCTTTCTAACGAGGCGAGATATCCACGTGTCCTCGCTTATTGAATACGCGGTTTTTGACATTGTCAAGTGCCGTAATTGTGACGTAATTACCCAGGAGCAAGCGGCAAACAGCGGAAGCAACGCACAAATAGGCGCCACCTTCGCCATCGTCAACATCATCAACGACAGAGTCGCAAGAATCGAGAAGCAAATTGGGGCGATGGGGCGCACTCTGCAATCACTAGAGCAAAAGGTATAGTGTGGTATAGGGGAAATAAGTTCTTAGATAGCTCTGCCCCCTGGTTCCCTCTAGCGTCTGTAACTTTAATGTACGAAATATTCTGTAAAAAGGTGCTCATACATTTCACTGAAAAACACAAGTTTTAATTAGTGATTTTGTTTCAATGCTTTCCTATTTGATCATTATCTACGATAATTGTAAAGCCCCTTTTGTCCTTGGCCTTCACGACTCTTTTCCCTCTTTCGCTAACACTATACATACAACTATTGCAGTGCGAAACACTGAATGGAATGACGCTTGCAGAAACGATGATCGACTTTTTAGAACAACATTTTGGCGGCACACGTAAGCGCCAAGTTATACCATGCTATACGCTACACCGTTATATACCAGTTTCACCCTGATATTCGTTACACCATGTTATATTTTAGATCATACAATGACGCGTTATTGGCTAACCTCATACCCGCGGTTCCTCCATGCTAAACCTCAGTGTTGTGGTCAGCACTAGCGATAATGACAATCGAACTCAAAATTAAAACTGAATGGCGATGCTATAAATATAATACAAAGCAGTTAGCCTCCCGCCTTATATATGTATATATATATATGTATGTATGTATGTATGTATGTATGTATGTATGTATGTATGTATGTATGTATGTATGTAT